ACCGTTGATGGGATTACACGGCGCCAGGGGGCCAGGTGGTAGGTGTGACCCCCGCCTACTGGAATTTGGAGGATCTGGGTGGAGGATGCTTGACTCCAATCCGAGTAGGCTGGGAGATCTCGGCCCCGGAACCCGCGTGGATTTGTCCCTCTGCCAGTACCTTCAGGTGTGCGGAGAGTGGTCTCAGCATGGTGGTGGCTGGTCCTGGAGGTCTTCGGCTGCCGGAGTCCTGGTCGGGGCGGGGAGGAAAGCTCAACCCGCTCCCCTCCAATGGGCCCCGGCGAGGAACAGCCAGGCGCGGATTGGAGTCGAGCATCCTCCACCCAGATCCTCCAAATTCCAGTAGGCGGGGGTCACACCCACCACCTGGCCCCCTGGCGCCGTGTAATCCCATCAATGGCCAAGACTCAGAGACTATAAGATCCAGCTTCCGGATGAGAACAGTACAGTCATAATATTATGCAAAATACCTCTAGAATGGGCTGGAGCAATATCACAGAGGTTAAGGCATTTGCCTTGCATGCGACTGACCTGGGTTCGATTCTCCCGCCCCTCTCGGAGAGCCTGGCAAGCTACCGAGTGTATCTTGCCTGCATGGCAAAGCCTGGCAAGCTACCCGTGACATAATCAATATGCCAAAAACAGTAACAACAAGTCTCACAATTTGTTGTGAGATGTTACTGGTGCCCTCTCGAGCAATCGATGAACAATGGGAGGACAGTGCTACAGTGCTACCTCTAGAATTTATTCATCTTGAATAACACACCTAATACTAATTTTCTGGCTTATTTTAAGCTCCTACATTTGTGCTAACTTATTAGAACAGTAATAGAAAAGTAATAGTAATAGAACAGTAATAGAAAACTAACACAGCATCAAATCCAGAGTTTCCTGTGCACTGCAGTTTCATCTGAAGGCTGATTTGACACTCAAATGTCAGCCTTCTCTCGCCTGGCTATGCCTCACCCCCAGCTCCACCTACCATTTCCATGAGAGGCAACACGTCTTGGTAATCTTGCTATCTCTGGCCACTAACAAAGATCCTAATACCAACTGGCCAAAGTTAAACCTGATTTCTAACTTGCCAGTATTTGTCAGGTAAAGATTTCTGGCTTTAGACTGTTAGTTAGATACTATATATGGGTTATTTGGGACTCTTTTTCTTACAGTTAACTAAATATTTCAATCTTTTAAAATAGCTTTATGATTAGGGTGGGGTTTTGATCCATTAGAAAGTTACAGTAGGATTAGAATTTTTCAATGAAGTATGGAATCCACTAATTTCAAAATTATAGTCTCTTCTGCATTCATTTGTGGGATATAATACATGTGTATGCATGTATGTATGCATATACATATATATGCACATATATACATATATTATGACTAATATCTAAAGCCAGGGGAAAGAGGGACCAAGAGGACTGGTCAATGGTTCGAAGCTTGTCAGAACAGCTTCTGGGGAGTGATGGGCAGTTAGGATAGAGAAGGGACCAGTAAGACAATAATAGTTGGGAATAATCACTTTAGACAGGAACTGAGTGTTAACAGTAAGTAAAGGGATATTCCAGTATCTGTATCAACAACCATAAGGCTCAAAAGAGAAGAGAGAGAGAGAGAGAGAGAGAGAGAGAGAGTGACTGTGACTGCCTCATAGGCAGGAAGGGTGGGGTAGGAGGGAAACTGGGGACATTGGTGGTGGGAAAAGTCCACTGGTAAAAGGATGAGTGTTCGAACATTAAATGGCTGAAATCCAATCATGAACAACTTTGTAACTATACTTCACTGTGATAAAAAAAAAATTTTTTTAAAGAAAAAAAAAGTATAGTCTCTTGTTAATCTGGGACCTGGCCTGGGGCCACACTCAAGAGATGCCCTGGGCTATTCCTGGCTCGGCTCTGGAGTGCCTACCTGGGGTTTGCAGGAACCCTATGCTGGGTCTAACGCTGGCTGCATACAAAGCAAGCGTTACATACCTCACAACCTGTGCTCTCTGGCCCCTTCTTTTCCTTTTAAACTTTGCATGAAATTACCATTAACAGTATTGTAAACAACACGACCTCCTTAATTTTCAAAAAAAATTTTAATTGGGGTAAGTAGGACGCACACCCGGGCGCACACACAGTGACCCCTGGTGGTGCAAGCACAAAGTGCGGCCCCAGGCCAGGTCCCTCCTACACTAAGTGCAGACTTCAGGTCCTGCTTAAAGCGGCTGGCTCAGATTTTCTCACGGTCGAGTGCAGGCAATGTATTCACTTGCGGGCCACACCGGCGGTGGTTCAGGACTTAGTCCTGGCTCCGCGCTCAGGACTCATTCCTGGTGGGCTCAGAGAACCACCAGAGGTGCTGGGGAACCAAACCCGGGTCAGCTTTGTGCAAGGCAATCTCCCTATCCGCTGTACCATCGCTCTGGCCCCGAGCGCAGGAAATTTAATTCGAACGTTTTCCACGTTATTTTTCGGAAAAATGAAACTTGGGGCCAAACCACTGGCCTTTAGGTTACAAAGGTTAGGAAAACCACCATTTGCTGTTATATTCAGATGCCTGAAGTTCAGCGTGCTCCAAAAGCAGCCTGAGTGACCGCGGTCACCGGCCACGTGTCAGAGGAACTGGGTCACCGCGCGATCCCCCTAACCCCCAGCCCCGCGGGTGATGCTGGGGTCTCCTCGGCCTGTGGACGGGAACACGGTACAGCCACTGTCCCACTCCGGAGAGGACACTGTGCCGAGACCGACGACCCGCCGGGAGCCGCCCCCAAGCTGCAAGTCTCGCGGGTCGGCAGCGCCTGGCCAACTCCCCGGATCCCTTCTGCTCCTCCCGACCCCGCCTTCTCCTGCAGCGACGGACGCTTAAGGACGCTGCACCGCGCCGGAAGTGTTCCCGGCGGAAGTTTCGGCGCGCGATATAGCGGAAGTGACCTCTCTTCCGGTCTCTTTGGTCCCCGCCGTAGAAGCGCGATGGTGAGTTGTCTCCCCGGGCTCTCGGAATCGGCCTCCATCCTCGCTGTTTGCAGCCGCACCGCGTTTTATCTGGGGGTCGCGGGCCAGATCCCTGGTTAAGGGGAGCGGGCGGGTAGGAACGGAGCACGGGATGTCCTTTACAGAGCCAGGAGACGGGCCCATCTCGCTTCCCGGAGTGCCTCTTGCTGAGGACTTGCGGGAGCAGGCCCAGCCCCGGCTTCTACCCGGGGACACGATCGGGGACGGGGAGTCGGGCTGGGAGTCGGGCCCCGGGTACGCGAGGCGCTGCCGGTGGGCGTAGCCGGCGGGAGCCCAGATTGCCCGGGCCGACTTTGCAGACCCCGTGCGGGTCGGAGACGTAACATTGGAGAGACTCCCCGGGGTGGCCGGGCACGGGGACCGCGTGTGTCGCGGGAGGCCACGCCAGTGAAGCTCCAATCGCGGGTCTACGTTGTGTCGCTCTCCGCCCGCAGACGAAGGGGACGTCGTCGTTCGGGAAGCGTCGCAACAAGACGCACACGTTGTGCCGCCGCTGCGGCTCCAAGGCCTACCACCTGCAGAAGTCCACCTGCGGCAAGTGCGGCTACCCCGCCAAGCGCAAGAGGAAGTGTAAGCCGGCGGGGAGGCTGGAGCCTGCGGCGCGGGGGGGGGGATTGCTGCCCTTGGCGTGGTGGGGGGCTTCCCCCTCCGACTTGTGCCCCCTTGAGGCCGAGAGCTTGAGCCCCGTCCGTGTTGCAGATAACTGGAGCGCCAAGGCCAAGAGGAGGAACACCACCGGCACCGGTCGCATGAGGCACCTGAAAATCGTGTACCGCAGATTCAGGTATGGCTTTCCCTGGGGCACGGAGCAGGCCAGGAGTAAGGGTTGTTGCCGAGACATCCCTTCGCCCAGTGACTGTCTGGTTGTTAAGGAAGGATGAGGATGCCCTGATTTAGTGGGGGGGGGGGTGGCAAAAATCTCCAGTTTTCTGATCCTTCCCTACCCCGCTTTTCTCGTCACCTTCGGACCAGTTGGCCTGTGTTTTTTTGGTGAAAAGTTGGAGGGAGTGGAGAGAGGGCAGCATGGAGTTGGTCAGGCGTTGGGCTTGGTGGGGTCCTAACGTTTTGTCATTCTGGTCAAGTCTTAACTGTAGGGAGCTAGTAGTTTTGACGTTTAGAAGTGTCATTCTTGTCCTGCCGTCTGAAATCTGGCTTTGGAGTTTGTGAGAGATCAGGATTTCAGCCCCTGCCTAAATTTCCAACGGCTCCTATTACAGTAGCTGGGAGGGGACCACAACTTGTGCGGCTCAGACTGGGCAATACTAGGTGGGCCTTGATCGACCTCCCTGGTCTGTACTATGTGGCCCACCTTGACCTGCCGGGACGATCTGGCCCGAGAGCAGCTTTTATTTATTTATTTATTTATTTATTTATTTTGCTTTTTGGGTTACACCCGGCAATGCACAGGGGTTATTTCTGGCTCTGCACTCAGGAGTTAATTCCTGGCGGCGCTCAGGGGACCATATGGGATGCCGGGAATGAACTCAGGTCGGCCGCGTGCAAGGCAAACGCCCTACCCGCTGTGCTATTGCTCCAGCTCCCCCCACCCCCGAGCAGCTTTTAAAGGGTTAGCCCACCTTCAGTCTCAGCAGAGATCAGTGTGGGCAGTTTGCTCTGGACTGCCATGTAGATTGCTTGGCAGGTTTGTAGTATAATACCTTCAGGTGTTCCTGTACTGTGCAGCAATGACCAACTGGTACAGAATGGTCCCTGTAATGCAGGGTTTACAAGCAGGAACTAAAGTGGGACTTAGGTATCTCACACTCTTTGGAAGGTAGTACTTTCCCCTTAGACTGTGAGTAAAAATGTAAAGCTTAATTGTGCTGTTTAGAGAATGCCCTTCATCACGCGTGCTGTTTTGCTCAGCAAGAACAAAGTAAATTAGAATCCCTACTCTGGAATGTAGGTGCATTTTTCTTATTATCTGGTGAAGAAAAAAATAACCAGCCTGGTACAAGTTAATACTGGTATATGTGTTCCTGATACAGATAAACTGGTGGGAGCTTATCGATGATGTCGTAAAAATGTCTGAACATATGAATTCAATACTGATTTCAGCATTTAACTGAGATAAGCACATTAAAATCTGTATAACAAGAATGATGTGTATGTGACTTGCTGAAATGATATTTTTGTTTTTAACCTGGCACAGGCATGGATTCCGTGAGGGAACAACGCCTAAACCCAAGAGAGCAGCTGTTGCAGCATCCAGTTCATCTTAAGGATTTCAGCAATTAGTATGAATAAATGTTCTGGTTTTAAAAAAAATTCTGGTGTGCTAAGGTATTTTTCATAGACTTAATAATAGTGACTCTATATAGGCTGGTTAATAACACAATGGAATAGATTAGATAAACTTTAGTAACTTTTACAGCTCCCTTAGAGCTGGTTTGAGATGACAAGAAACCAGATCAGCTCTAGAATTTCTTTAACTGAAATAACTATGAGGGCAAGCCCAACATTGCTTGGGCAGTAACCATGTGATGTCAGGAATCAAATCCAATGTTCCCACCTTCTGAGCCATCTAAGCAGCCCACTTTTGTTATTCATGGCCAAATAAAATACAGGTATTCACACAGTATAAATGAAAGTACCATCTGCTTAGTGGCTGGGTTATTGGTTGTTAATTGTGACAGGATTTGCTTGGTGCAAGTGATTGAAAGTCTAGGATTACTACAAATATAGGGTGTTAAGTAGAAAGTATAGAAGTATAAATGAATTAGTAGGCTAAAGCTTTGATAAGATTCCTGATAGAACTGGTGGGGGGCGTGCCACACCTGTCGATGCTCGGGTATATGGGATGCTGAGGATTGAACCCTGGTCAGCTGCATGTACTATCACTGTGGCCCCAGAACTTTTTAATCTGGTAATTACTGATTTTTTTTTCACTGTTAAAACATGAAACAATGGTTGAAATGTACTTAATTCAGACTTTAAAACATGAAATTTACCATGGTTCCCAAGGGGAGGTGACTTAGTGAATGTAGGGAGGACCTGGGCCAACTTTTGCTAGTATCAAGATGGGAAAGAGCTGGTCTGAGAGAGAATATAGGAAGCAAGATATTTATCTTGCATGCAGCAGATCCTGACCAAAACCAGGATCCAGCACATACGGGACTTGAGCACTGCCATGTGTGGCCCAAACACCCACCTCCAGAAATGAAAAGATGGGAAAGATAAAACTGCACAGATGTCGGACCAGCTCTCTTGAAGTGACTGACACCAAGCTGTGTGACTACTGACTTGTATCTTCTCTTTGTATATAGAACGTCATTTTGTTAAATATGGTTGTGGCAAGGGTGAACTCATATCAGTTAATAGACCAAGTACTATACCAGGTGCTGGAGATGTAGCACAGCGCGTAGGGCGTTTGGTTTGCATGCTGCAGACCCAGGTTCGATTCCTCCGCTCCTCGGAGAGCCTGGCAAGCTACCGATAGTATCTCACCCGCATGGCAAAGCCTGGCAAGCTACCTGTGACATTTGTACGCCAAAAACAGTAACAAGTCTCACAATGGAGCCATTACTGGGTCCGCTGGGTGTGATCAAAAAAAGAAAATTTGTATTCGCCTATTTTATGACTTGGTACTGTATATAGGGTCCAGTTTTTTTTTTTAATTTTTTTAATAGACATTATGAGGTACAGTTGCAGACTTACACATTTTTGTGTGTGGGTTTCAATTATACAATGATCAAATACCCATCCCTCCACGGGTGCCCATTTTCCACCACCACGGATCCCAGTATCCCTCCCACCCCCCATCCCACCTTGCCTCTGTGGCAGGGCATGCCTATAGGGTCCAGTTTTAAGATCAGAGATCAGGATTCTAATTGGCTGTTTTGTTGAATGATTTTACTTAGTTTTGTCAGTTTATTCTTAAAAATGGAGAGATTAAGATGTGTTTGAGTAATAAAGTCCATAACCTCAGTAATGTTTAGATTATACAAGTGCTTCTAACTGCAAAAACTTTTTAGCTTGAGAAATGAAACGTCATACTGAAATCTTAAATGTTGACTAGTCGTGGGTATCTGCGTGCTGGAGAAACCCATAAAGATATGTATATCCAGCATAAAAGTGGTAAACTGAGGCAAATTAAAACCTGACTTATAGGGCTGGAGAAGTAGTACTGCAGGTAGCACGTTTGTCTTGCATATTGCTCACCTGGGTTCAACTGGTATCCCATATGCTCCTCCAAGCCCCTCTGGAAGTTGATCCCTGATCCCAAGGAGTACATTCTCAGGCATGCACCACGACAAAGACTTGACTAGGGGCCAGAGACATGTTCAGTGGGTCTGGCCCTTCCCTTGCATGCAGCTTACCAGGTTTGATCCCTTTCCATCTGGTCTCCACATAAAAGGTTACTCTTGATCTGCGCAGAGATAGGAGCTGAACTGAGTTGAACCTGGTGTAGCCCTCAAAACAAAAAAATCTGACTTGAAGATACGTGGAGTTGCTCAGTTATGAGCCAGGAAAAACTGCTGGCACAGTGCAGTAAGAAGTGGGTGATGATGATTAGGACAGAAAGGTGTATCTGTAGCCCAGGCCTGGAGCAACCTATCAGATTTTACAGCTCGTTGTTCTTATGCTGTTAAACTCTTAATAGCTGGTCAGAGAGAATATGCTTGCATGCCAGAGACCTGTGTTCCATCCTTAGCACCTTAGGATCTCAGCAACCCCAGGTACCTTTGGGTATGCCACAAGAAACACTGAAAAAGTGTAATGTTGTAATTTTGTAATTGTTTTCTATTTTTTAAAAAGCAATTCCGAGCATAATCTGCATTTTTAAATGTAGTGTACATCTTTGATTTTGAAATATATGGAGCGGCCAGGGCCATGTACTACAGTGGGCAGATGCTGGCCTTGCACGCAGCTAACCTGGGTTAGATCCCTGGTACCCCTGAGCTCAGCCAAGTATAATCCCTGAGCACTGTGCATGTAACCCAAAAACGTTTGGCGACCAGAGCTCAGTGGACTGAGTACATGAAGGCCTAGATATGCAGCATCACCTGCACCACTCTTCCCCAAAAAAGAACTAGGGAGGTGACCCAGTAGTCTTCAAGGTTCATCACCATCAAAGAAATACGTCTAAAAGTGAGCACTTGTTGGGATGAGGTACAGATAGATACTCAGACTGCTGCCAAGCTTCAGTTTGTGAAATAAACAAGTATTGCAGTTGGTTCTGAAATGAGAAGGGTGGCTGGAATCAAAGGCACTCAGAAATGATAGCACAGGCGGTAAGTAAACTTCCCCTTTGATTCAGTGAAGCGGGTGGTCTGGGTGGCCTCCAGTACTTGGTGTGGCTCAGCAGGGCAATGCTGTTGTGTTGCTAGGGGTCATACCCTTTTGGTGGTGACTGCACACGTTTGGATTCTACTCACCCCTAGTGGCCCTGGCATTGGCGCCTCCCTATCTTTCAGTTGTGCTGGGCTGTGCTGAAGTGTTGCAGGGACTGCGCAGTGCTCATGGGCGGCACCAGGACTCCTAAACTGGTGGCCTCATGCTTGACAAGACAGCTGCTTTTTGCCACCAACCCATACCCAGAGCCCTTGTATGTCAGCAACCGTGGACTTTAGGGTTCACGGATTATGAACTTAAACTCCAGAAGGGAAGAATGGAGAGGTTCAAAGATAGACTTGGAGGCCAGGGAGAGCTGAATGAGCTGGAGCACAAAACGATACATAGGAGGCCTGCCTGGGTTTATTATCCCCAGCACTGCCTGGTCACCTGAACACCACCAGGAGCAACCCCCGAGCACCCCAGTAGCTTCCCTAAAATGACTGATTTAGGAGATGTTTATAAGACAATGATTTGATGCATATCTGCAACGATGCACCTGCTGTGTGCCAGGGTTTGTTATACAGTAATTCCAAAGGAGAAATTTAGAGGTCAGGCATTTGCCTTTCACACAGCCAGTCCAAGTTTTATCCCTGGTATCCCACGTGGTCCTCCTGAGTTCTACCAGGAGTGATCCCTGAGCACAGAACTAGAAGTAAGCCCTGAGCACCAGCTGGATGTGGTCCCCAAACCAAAAAAGAAAAAAAAAACAAACAAACCAATAAACAACAACATAAAAACCCTGGAAGCTGACTGCTGTGGTGGTTGCAGGCTTGAACCAGGAACTATGATTGGTTTGAGTCACACAACCCAAGAGTACTTGAAACAGTCATTTGTGGCTGAGGCCAAATTGTGGGGGAAATGTTTTGTTTCAGGGCTAACTCTTGTCTCTGCACTTACGGGATTGGTCCTGGTGGGCTCTGAGGACCGTGTGAGGAGCTAGGGATCAAATCTGGGTCAGCTACATGCAAAGCAAGCATTCTGCTTGCTGTACTCTCTAGTCCCTAATTGTTCAAAGAAAAAAACATTGACTATAGAATTTGGCAAAATTTAAGTTTAGTGTCTGCCGTCTAACCTCATTTCAGAGTTAAGGCTCTAGCACGTGGCCAATCCCAGCACCACATATGGGCCCTGAGGACCACCAGGAGTCACCTCTGAGTCCTGCCCATAAACACTGCCAGCTGTGCCCTCCACCCACCCAAAAAAACCACTTTGCTACTGGTTCAGAGCTGTGATAGCGGAAGGTTTAGTTTTATTTGTTTTTGCAACTCCAAGATGCAAAATATTAGTTTTATTTTTTAAGAGACTTTAAAAGGGGGCTGGAGAGATAGCACAAGGAGTAGGCGTTTGCCTTGTATGCGGCCAGCGTGGGTTCGATTCCCAGCATCCCATATGGTCCCTTGAGCACCGCCAGGAGTGATTCCTGAGTGCAGAGCCAGGAGTAACCCCTGAGCATTGCCAGGTGTGATCTAAAAAGAAAAAAAAAAAGACTTAAAAAAATACTTTTAAAGGAAGATAGCACAGCGGTAGGGCGTTAGCCTTGCATGCAGCCAACATGGCCGACTTGAGTTGGATTTCTCCACCCCTCTCGGAGAGCCCGGCAAGCTACTGAGAATATCTCGCCCGCACGGCAGAGCCTGGCAAGCTACCTGTGATGTATTTGATATGCCAAACACAGTAACAACAAGTCTCATGATGGAGACGTTACTGGGCCCGCTCGAGCAAATCGATGAACAACGGGAG